ATTTATGATTGGTCGGTTCAAGATCACTTGTGTGTTCGTTCCTTGGGACTCTATTGTTGAACTTTGCCTTTTGAACAGCTAAATATTTGATATATATATATAAATACGCTCATTGTCTAACGCAGGCCGTATGATTATTGAATTATACAGTAGTCCTCCAGGTTGCGCGGGAAAATCGACTTCGTTTCGTTTTCAACCCGCGGTTGTAGGCATACGATAACCAACCAATATTGAGGTAAGTACAACGTTTACAAGGGATAATAAGCTGTTTTAGAAAAGTAAGGGTGCTAAAGTGAATCATTAAAGTGTAATGAAATAGGTAAGTGCAATGTATCATTAATAGATGCATTGATAAAGGAAATACAATGGGAGACTATAATCCCTAGGCTGACAAAGTTCATTTGCAATGTATAATGCTACCTATATATGTCTTACTATCATGATGTCCACTTTTGGTTTTAATACAGTTATCCACAAGCCGGTTGTTTTATTTCATACCTTTTTGTGTATCTGGTCACAACCGTACCCTATAGAGAATAGGAATAGAATAAGTCGAATCAAATTCATAAAGGGCTATAAAATGTTAGGTTTAATGGAATATAATCAGCAAGTGAAGACGTTTTTAGAAAATGAGCGAGATGAGACATTGTGAAGCGGTATTCAAAGATTCGACAAAGGAAAGCAAATTAATTCATAAGATGCCCCATAAATCTGTGCAGAGCCCACGTGGTCGCATCTCAACAATAGGCTGAGCGAATGGTATATGTTTAAAGGTAGAAGCATGATGTGTCTAGGCGATCATTATTATCTTTTTCTAGATAAAGATCCAAGCCCTCATAAAAATCCTGAGCCATCAAATTGCATATTGCTGTTCCTGAAGAATGGGGCGATTCACCTAAGTGACCACCATCAAAAGTACCTAATTATTTTTATGCTGTTCATTAGAATACTGTCCCAAGCGAAATTATCAGGCGATAAAATGATAACTACGCACTTACACAATCACATAAGCACTTATACTTATCTCAAAAACTTGTCGGCATCAATCAAATTCATTGACTACTTTGTTGTTCCTAGGAAATGCAACTTATAACGTGGCCTGTCACTGTGAAAACTGATAGCCTGAATAGAAAACTTTACGCATAGTACGTGTTCATTTTAACATAACTTATCACCGTGACAAACAATAAGTATTATTGACAAAGGTTCATAAACATTTGAGAAATATTTATTTGAGTGAATACATTCATCATATCACAAATATTTTATCGACCCCACACATAAATTTTCCGTTTAACATTCACTGGAACGTCTAAACATATTAAGTGAATTCAGGACTGAGGACCATAATCTGCAAAACAAAAATGACGAAACTTCAGTTACTAAAAGATTACTTAGCTAAGGATTTTAAAACACTGTACAAAAAACGATTATTTTTGCAATGTAATATCACCAGTTAATCAAATGAATTCACTTTCTAACTATTAAAACTAAAAAGTATCATAAAATCCTAATTACACCAGTGTTCAACTCATTTACTCATCATTACATGAAATATGCCCCATTTACGAAAATTATGCAGTATTTATTTTCATAATTGACAGTTTGCAATGAATTCTGACATGTCGTATGCACCTCAGCATTTCAATTTGATGAAATGACAGCATTTTGTCAACACACTGAAAAGGACTACTTTTCTCACTTTTTACACGTCTTTTCGTTGAAATACGGTTTCTAAAATCCATTTCTGTCGAAAAAACCACTAAAAACAACGTAGAATAGCCCAAACACCACACCACGATAACACCTTAAAACCGCAGCAATTAGCTGATTTGTTCCTCTATCCTCTGCCTGAAATCGCAATATTACATCAATTAAATCTTCCCCCAAAATCAAGGCCACTTGAAACCCATAGCAACATAGCAACGGACATCTTAGCGGGGATATACAATAAAGTCACTCGGCGTGCAGTGGGAGATAATGTGATAATGATATATTAGTATATTAGAGATATTAGTATCAGCGTTTGGTGCCAACACTGTGTCAGCTATCTCCTGGGAAATATGCCTTGTCCTAGCTGTAGACTGTTCGATATGCCAGCAAGGAATTGATCCGATTTAATGCGTGTTATATGCATGATGCCAGGTGTTTCCGTTAACTGACGCTGGTGAATATCCTGCTCGAAGTGGCTAGTCGGGCAATGTTATTGTGAAAGTTATAATCGATATGAGCATTCGGTAATTTGTTGCCATAATAGGAATGAAGTCTTGGCATCTGGCTGAGATACTTATCAAACCATGGCAAGTTTTTTGCAGACATTGGCATATGCTCTCTACAAAATTCATAACGTGTATGAATGGGTTCTATGGACTTATTTGGCTTAATGAATGTGGTCTGTAGCCGGTGTTTAGGAGACTTTCTATAACATTCAGTTGATAGAACATTTAAAAGGGGGCTGGCTGACGATGGGTTTGCGTAGTTGATGAGCAGAATAATACCAAATACTTCGCTGTTGTTTGTCTAGAAGTAGTGGTTGGATATAATTGCATTCCACTTAAGACCAATTAGGCCTACCTCTAGGAGCTTGGTTTATCATAACTGACCTTTTCTTAGTAAGATGACTTAGGGGTGCTTGCTTTTTTTCATATCAGTAGGCTTTCGTACTTTGGGTTCGGAATTTAATTTATTTACTTTTGCATCCCTTTTCTTATGTTAAACTGGTTGATGGTGGCTAACAGGGCAGCCAGCACATGTTATATAGGGTATCTGTTGCTCGAACACACCTAGCGCTTTAGTTTTCTTATTGGCAATGGGGTATTTGCCATAATGCCTTGGGAACTTGCTTACTAGGGTATCTACACCGTACTAGTACTTCACAGTGGATGGATTGTTAGACTGAGGAGTAAATGACTGATAAGGAGATGGGTGGAACACCAGTGGGATGGGTTTTCATGTTTCTGGCTCTTGACCCTTGTGTCAGTGTGCAAACGACATATTTCAACATCATGTTCTGTTGATTCATCTATGTCCACCATTTCAGTGTCAGCATCAGTCTCTTTATATAATACTTGGCTAAAACTTGTCAGTGCCTGCGAAATTGTCCGATGCATGAGGTTATCAGGCATTTCACTAGACGGAATAACGCATGGAACATCATCTACAGTTGTCCTATTAGAGTGATCAGCATTTAGTGTTCCAGAGTGGCATCGTCTTTGGCATGGTGTTAAATCAGGTGCAACCCTGATGTTAGTGTAGGGTGTTGAAGAGCCTATTGTCTTACCAGATTTCAGAAAATTCCTAGACCTTTCAATCGACCTGAACTTGAAAAGTACCGGGCATGAGTGGTTTGCAGATTTCTTACGAAGACGCAAAACCTGACATTCTTTGAACGAAATATTACAGGCCTTTAGACATGAAGTTTTAAGTCTAGCAATAGGCTATCTATCTGGAATTATATAAGCCAAGACGTTATGTGAAGACATAATCCACTTAACAGCTTTTCCAGTCAAATAGTCAATTATGCGCTCGGATTTGATAAGTGATTCTAGATGTGATGTGAGGGGCAGAATGCTGTCAACCTAATCTGTAGGCCTCCTACTGATTTCTGAAGTGTCAGCAAATCATTTTTGCTACGAGCCGCATTATCTAGCATTTCCTCCGTGACATCAGATACCATAAATTTGGGTGTATCTGGTGCCAAATGTGGAATCATCTGCGGGACTGAGGCGTTCAGGGGGTTGACGAGTATTAGATCTCAGTCTCTTAAGAGTACTTACGGGTTTGACTGACTTAACCATTATGGAGACAAGAATTTTCGTAATTTCCGGAAAAAAGTCTTGTGGATATAGGAAAAGACTGTTGTATTATCGAAGTATCAAAAACAACAATAAACAGCTATGTACTGGAAAATAAAAAAGTCAGACTTTCCTTTGATAGTACTGCCTGGGGGGGAAATACTTAGTTGCAGGCGATTGGAAAGGGTATCAGAAGATTCCGGGTTGTAGATTCCACAAGTGAATACTATACGTAGTTCCAGGTGGCAGAATACAATCCTGATTAAGCATGGATATGTGGATATTGTGAGGAACGCAGCTGAATTCCAAAAAGAATATTGAAAGATGATGCACGCAGAAAAAGAACACCTGTAGCGCAACAGTTTCACCTGTCAGTATTCAATATTAAATTAAATTTTGTGAGATTGTACTGTTTACTGACCAAAGAGATTCATTAAAGTAGATAAATGTGAAACACACAGATGTTCTAAACTATCTGTGGAACACAATGACAGTTACAGGTACAAATAATTCCTTAGTCGTCAGGTCCAAACGAAGGGAAACGAGCAAGTAAAGAAACACTGATCGCGGCTATGCGCTTAAGAAACCGTCTGTAATGATGACTTGTAACTGCGCAACTCTTTTTCCATACATTTTCAATATATTTCTTCTGTGCTTAACATCCTCTTCCTCACGCTTTTTCTAAAAGTATTCTTCTGTTAGGAGGTACATTCATCTCATCCATTCATTTCTCCTCTTTAAACTGTCATCTATAACATGGATGATGCATAAGATTCCCATGTGGCATTTAAAGCCTGGAACTGACATTAATTCCAGCTCATCTCCTTTTGGAGTCAACCAAAGCAAAGGCAGTCAAGTGGCGGGACGAGCTACGCAGAAGTTTACCGAAGATCAGGAACCTATACCTCACAATCAAGAGGCGAGCACAAAGAAATCAAATTGGTTTATACTAGCTCGTAAAAACGATATTGGATATTGGATACTGTAGTGAATCATGCATTCCGTCTCAAAATCATCAGAGAACCATGAAACCTCTGGTGAATTAAACTGGTAGATAAGTATATGGAAACAGAATACATCGGTGGTCTATCGAAATTCGACGAAACTGAAAAAAAGCAGTGATAAGTCAAAACGGTCATAAACAGTGGTGACTGGCACATCAGATATTGAATTGTTTTATGATGCTAATTGGCTCATTTGTAGCAACGCACTTTAAATACCGCAGGGTTTGTTATCCTCTTTAAATTATTTCTTTATTTATACTCCCTTGTCTTAAACAATGATCTTCCCCCCTCTTTCTCTTTCAAATACCTGAAGGCATACGTGCAAAGTTTATGAAAATCCTTGCATAGTAAAGTAGAATTTCAGTGAATAGCAAGAATACTGCACGGCATATATTTCACAATAGCTGTAGCAAAATAAAACTTTGATGCAACATTGCTTCATGTAAAATATTATCATCTTTTGGAGAATTGTTAAACCACACTTACTTCGAAAAAATTTGAAGCTTCTTCTTCATTATTGTCGTTATATTTAATAAGTATCTTTTTAACTGGAGTTAGTGTCCTTTCAGCTGCATCACTTAATAGTACAAGTAATTAAGCACAATTTGAATAGGTATTCTTTCGATTACTTCGAAAGCCTACACTAATATTCATGTGACAGTTATCATAATGAAAAAATTCTTCTCATGTAGTTCAACAAAAAGTAATAACTGGTATTTTAGTGAATATATTTCACAGATTACTTGTTCAAAAAGACTTAACTTCTCTAAGTGCAACAACTCTTATATTTAGATAAACTTGTTTGTCTTATTTAGCTCTTGATAGTTTTATGGAGTCCTAGACAAAAATTATGTACAATGTGTTCACTTTTTACATTCACCTGAAACTGTACAAATTTGCTGTTTAGGACTCAACAGTTCTTCAGATTTGATCCAGATTTATTGGTTGAGGAAAATTTCTGTGCTTGCCCAAACCCTTCTTGAATGAGTCAATTGAGGTCTCTGACACCATTTCTTTTCGGAGTGAGTCCCAGGAGTTCATGACTCGGTGTAAGAACCAGCACTCAACGGCAGTATACTTTCGCCTTGACTTCTGAACTCTAAGGTGTTCCGAACTAGTGAAAGGAAAAGATTGGATGGATCACGTCCATAGTCATTACTTAAAATTTTAAACATTGTGATTAAATCTGCTCTCTGCCTACGGTATGATAGGGAGAAGAGATTTAAAATGTCTGGTCTTTCTTCACATTATATGCTATTCATGCCAGGAATCGTGCGTGTTGCCTTCCTTTGAACCCTTTCTGGAGTGTGTGAGTTCCCTTTAAGACAAGGACTGGTTGCCTGGATACAGTTTTCTAGTCTTAACCTCACCAGAGATGTATATAAAGAGATGAGCATATCTCTGATGATTCTACTAAACGCTTACGAATTGTCCGTAATGATCTTAAAGTGAGAGCTGCTACCGCGCTACAGGGAGCTTTAGCTTTTAAATCGTGGCTTACTATGACACCTAAATCCGAATGAGTTTAAACTGATCGGAGTATTATTCCCACTAGTCGTATGAGCTGTTGCCTGCATGTCCAACGCACATGGTTACTCATTTCTTTAGGTTGATCGGGAGCATTCTTTGGATCAACCGGAAAGTTTTGCTGAGATCTTTTTGTACCATGAACGTGTCATTATCGCTCTTCACCTCTCTCCAGATTTTTAAGTCATTTGCATAGAGGACCATAGGGGATTCGGTGAGAACAGGTAACTCCTTTATATAAAAGATGAATAAGTGTGGCCAGTGTATAGTGCCTTATGGCATTCCACTACATACCGTTGGCCAGGAGGAGAGTTTTGAGTTGATCCTGACTCTATGTCTTATACTTATGTGGAATTCCTTAATTCGGCTCAGTAAGCTTCCCGTGATTCCGAGACCTTCCAATTTCATCAGGAGTTTTTTGCAAGACACTTTGTCGAGGGTCTTGTTGAAGTCTACGAAAACGACGTCAGCGGGTCTCCTGTCGTCCTTTAACTTGACCCAGCTTTCTCATGCATTAAGAAGATTTATCAGGCATGAAAGGCTTCCGTGGAAGCCGTGCTTCACTCTGGACAGTAAGTCAATAGCTTTATTGGTGATTCTTTCCAGTATCTTGATCAAGGTGCTGGTGAGACTGATTGGTCTGTAGTTTAAAGGGCAGTGTTTTGGTCCTCCTTTGTGGATGGGGGTTACCGTGGCGTCTTTCTAGTCATGCGGTAAAACTCCATTCAGGACACATAGCTTGAAGGTCGTAGTCAGTGGACCGGCTGTGTGAACTGATAGCTCCCTGAGAAGCCTTGGATAAAAGCTATCGGGTCCGAATAACTTCGCTGAATCCAGTTTCTGTAGAGAATGGAGTACGATTTTTCGGTCGATATCGACAGAGTCTATCATGTGTTCCTCTGACGTGGCCGGAGCTGATGCCATGAGAAGTGGCGACTCATGTGTCAAGACTGTGAAGAAATAGTGTGCTATTTTTACTGCTTTTACTGATCCTCTTCGACTGTATCGTTATCAACAGGCAAGTTTGAGATCCAGCCGAATGTCTTATTCCTGAGGTTCATGTATGAAAAAGTTTCCTTAGGTTGTGCCGTTGCATTTTTATCTAGATGCATCCCTGATTGATGGATTCCTACAATAGCCTTGTCCCTGGCGATTGTATACAACCTTCTGGCCAAAAGGATTGCTTCAGAATTTTTGAAAAGCATAAATTTGTTATCGTAACATTGCTTAAGAAGTGAAATACTAAAAATATGAAAAGTTAAAAGCACGTCCACACTATTTCGAAGACTAATAAAAAAAGACTTAATTATATTTACCTGGAAGGTTCAACCGAGACAATGCTTATATCGACCAATATTTTATATCTATTCAAACCTAACACATAATAGTAGCAAACAGTCACAGAGGATTTCTGAACTCTTCAGATATACAAATAAGTAAACATAGTAGCCTGTAGTAATCTTTGTAGCCCATGTTTTTGTGTAGATCAAGTTTCTACTCAAAGTGCGTTCATTGAGGGAACCAATTCTCTTAGGGAGTTCCGGACGCTGACCGACCTATTCGAGAATTTGAATTCCATTATCAGTTTTTAGCCAACATTTGAAAAGTTTTCGTGGTGATCCCAAAATATTCTAAGAAGACTAAGAAGATTAAAAATGCCAAAATCTAAATCAATGTTTAAAATGTCATCACAGTAAAAACGTTTCCTTTCCCATGATATGATATCTGAAAGAGGTTTAAAGTTTCCATCTTCTTTCCATGGGAGAGAAACAAATTTCACTTTACCAGCTTGATTTTTGTCGTTCACACTCATTCCAAGACATTCGCCCTTTTCTTGAGGCAGGAAGTGACAGAATGTGCGAGTGGTTAATAGTTTCAGTTGGAACTAAATGAAACATTACTGTGTTATATAGGTTCACGTAATGAATAGTGACTGGACGTAAACTGAACATTTGGTTCCCGGAGGGACTCCAGCCCATGACCTTCCCACTGTTACTCTGATTAAATCAATCAATCTCATTATCAATTAACAACCTACTTCTCTTCTACTAACCAAGGACAATTAGAATTGACAGAAGACCTCACTGGGTAACTACTGTGATGATAAAGCGACAGTAACGTATAGTTTACTGACATGTTGGGAGGGTGTTGCCATTGGTGATTGCAGTGAAATGATGCCCAGTTTAACAGTTAGTTCTCATAAATCAGGCGGTAGAAAGCCGGAATGATAATTCTTAGGCAGATAATTCGGTTCCTGTCGCCATCTAGATTCCCATTTCACCTTCTATAATCACCCATTACGTCAATAATGGTAGACAGTCTGCTAAATCAAACATATCTGATACAGTCTTCCCATAATTTAAGTTGCCTGTATCGGCGAAATACCTAAAATTTGAAAAGTGGCAAAAATGATTAGATTTGCACCATTTAGGTAAACTTCATGCACACTTCAAAGGTTTGTAATTTAATAAAACCTTACCTATTAGGAGTTTCAGCCAGGTATTTTACGTTTCAGTAAACAGCTTTAAAGACAAGATCAGAGGCTTATTTGAACGTTATCATATCTTAGTGTAACTGCCCAGATCTTTTTGATCTCACGGTCGTTGCTCAATAATGAAGGTGTATGTTTTAGTCATCAAAGTTGCTATATTCTTAAGGTTGCAACGGCTGACTACCAGAATTCATCCAATAGTCTATATCTCACCCTAACATCACTCAGTGACACATGAGTAGATGCTTCCTATCAAGGATTTGCAATGCACATTGATAAAAAAGTATCTCTCCCTCACCGAAAATAGGAAGAATTGGGGAATGTGAAATTTGCTTTATGTGTTTGTGCCCTGATTAAATCAGTATTCAACTTAAAGGAATTCATGGTAAAATTTGTTTGACGCAACAGTTTTGACAGTCTTTAAAACTCCGCAAATTTGATTTCAAGCAGTAAAAGAAACTTCTCCTCTCATAAATGAAGGAAATTAGTCTCCTTCGTAAATTTTCGAGTATTGGTTTTGTAAGGATTTTGTTCGATTATTTGCTGGCGGATTTCATCATGAGCTAACATCAGTTAGAGAACCATTGGAAAACCTGGGAGTACTGGTCAGCTGTTTCATCCTCCGGGTTTGGGACTCCTCAGTAGCACGCACTCACCCCAACTCGGTTCGAACCCAGGACCTTCTGGTTACAAGGCTAGCGAGCGCGTAAACCATCAAGCCACTAGGACCTTATCCAATAGCCCATGAATTTCAACTTCTATCAATTCATGACATAGCGTGACCACTTCGAAATGTCTTCTTCGATCAGCTACTGCCTCACCTTCAACCTGCTATACCCTAGTGGTCATGGCTTCCTACTAGAATCCCAGGTTAACTGCCTGAATAGGGCCAGTCGCTAGTGAGCGTCAGATTAATTTTTAAGTATTGGTTTTGTTTGATTGGTTGGAGGATTTCGTCATGAGCTGACATCAGTTAGAGAACCAATCCTCCAACCAATCAAACAAAATCCCTACAAAACCAATACTTGAAAAATTGTTTATATTTTATGTTTTATCAGATAAGTTTGTTCACTACATTTATTCATACTACTACACTGTTTAAGTTTTTATTGTGCTTTAGTAAGGTAGTATTGAAAGAAACTGTTCTCTTATGTAAAATTTCAGAAGAAATTTGAGAGTAATTAATCCATCCAATTGCGAATTATAATGTTTAACTTGCAGCCTTAAGTTTTGAAATCATCTACTTGATATTTACATCAGTAATTTAATAATTTTCAGAAATAGTGACAATACAATCTAAAATCTCGGATAAATGGGCACTGTTTAAAGTTGTGTTTTAATGCTGTATTTTTTAGGAAGGTCGTTGAAACTGCAATTACATATGTTTAGCATCAGTTTGCTTTATCTATCTACTTACAAGGACGAATCATTCATCGCAATATACTTTATGAGAAGTTACCTAATATGGAATTATATTCTACTACAGTCCCCTAAGTCTACCTCTACACTGACGATTTAAATCTTATGTTTCAGTGTAACTTAATAAGGGATACTGATGTATATGGTGACTTATTTTTCCCTTTAATAGGTTTTTTCAGTTAAATATGTTTGATTATCTTAACTAACAATGACATCTACTGAAAGACCAAGTCATAAATTTGATTTTCACTTCAAAACAATTAGTTTTAACAGAATGTCTATGCAGTATTACAGGACGTTGTGCATCAGCTGTTTAGTAAATGCGTCTTACCTTCATATTAGATAAGTTTGTTTGATGTAACATACATATCTGATACAGTATTAATTATCCAGTTATTAATGCTGTATCAGTTTATGCTATATCGAATAAATTTATCTAATATGGAACTGTATTCTGCTACAGTCCCCTGCTTTGCTTCATCGTTAATTTGAGCAGTTTGGATATTTTTACTAGCCTTAAATTTATGCAAAAATTATACACTGATTGGTCACTAGGGCGTAAAAATAGTCGCGTGCCTAGAAATTATTGTTTAGTAGTGGTTGTTTACACCCTAACAACCAATCAGCGTATCCGGTACAGTCCTTCAGGAGGGTCAGTTGTGAGCCTGAATACCTCGGCAGTAATGATCCCAATTACATTAATAGGTAGAGCGAGTTCGAATCTCTAAAAGGACATCAATTTTTTCAAGGCTTCAAACATCCCTTGCTGACTAGTACCGACTGCAACTAACCACCTAACTTGCAAAAAACTATGTTTATAGAAGTATTATAAATTAATCAAGGCACTGAAGCATACGATAACGTGTACTGCTATAAAGTGAAACAAATTCTATCACACTTTACGGAGTTTTAAAGCTGTTAGTCGAAAAATATTAAATTAATCTAATAAAATAATGGTACAGTGTTTATAAACAAAATGTAGGCTGAAGGTGAGGCAGTGGCTCATCGAAGAAGACATTTCGAAGTGGTTGCGCTATGTCATGAATTGACAGAAGTTAAAATCCATGGGCCATTGGATTAGGTCCTAGTGGCTTAATGTTCTATGCGTTCTCTCGCCTTGTAACCAGAAAGTCCTGGGTTCGAATCCCGGTGGGTGTGTACTGATGAAGAGTCCCAAACCGGGAGGATGAAACAACTGTCCAGTACTCAAAGGTTTTCCATTGGTTCTCTAACTCATGTCAGCTCATGATGAAATCCTCCATCCAAATAAACAATTTTTACTTTCTGTTGGTCAAACTAATATTCAACAAAATGATCCAGAAATAATTTGTAAAAAATGAGAAATTTTCTTACCCCAATAAATAATGAGTAATCAAACTATAGAAGCTAAATAGAAAGCGTAGGAAACAAAGACGATATAGAAAGCTGTGCCTACACTAATAAAAACATAAGTGCATGGAATGCCATTTCGTAAATGATGCTGTATCAGTGAGTGTTTCATTGAATAAACGTGTTTAAATTGACATTACTTCAATGTATGGTGACTAAATAGTTAGGTTAATTCATCGTTGTAACCAGTTAAAGTTTCATTAACCAGGTGAAATTTGTAAAAAATAACTTTAAGCTTTGTAATGAGATGTCTGGAGATGTTCGGTAATCACAAGAGAAAAATTTGTTCACTTTCGCTGCAAAATACAAGTATTTACTTTCGATCGTAGTTTGCAGACATCAAGTCACCAACAACAAGTTGAGCGTTGTGTATTACTATTCACTCAGTACAAAATTTTATCTTAGGTATGTAAGTGTTTGATTAACTGGGATAAAAATCTATTTGATCTTACAACTCATTCTTTAATCCATTAATTTAAACAAGTTTTCTGCTATGGCTAATTCATATGTGTTGCTTACACAGCTTTGTAGTATACGCGAAAAGTTTTAAATCATCTATTAGCTGCTGACTGTCCTCTAGCATAATGTGTGTAGCAGTCATAATTGTAGAATTTCAGAGTGTTTAAAATAAATAACTTAGCTTTTCTTTTTCTCAAAATTAGTTTGAGCTTTTTATGTGATAAAAACTAAAGTAACACACACTCGATAATTTTAAATGATTCTCCAGCTAATATCAGTTGGCAATGTAAACGAAGTTAAAATCAGTTAAATATCGTCATGACAACTGACTGAAAGTTATAATTTTTTTATTTTGATGGCATTTGCCGTACAATGTTTAAATTTTTTGTTTTATTATTAAATCTATAAAAGTCTGTTAATTACTATGATGCTTGAATTATAGAAAATATGATAAGTAACTTATAAAATATCCACTCAGTTTTGTAGTCTCTTTATTCTACACTATATACTGTAGGAAGAGTGAAAATGACAAGTTTTTCAATGCAGGACGATGAAAATAATCAAGATGTATTAGAATTTGAAAATAATCTTGAAAGAATTTCTCGTGATTTAGTCACAGACGTTTTAACACGAGCTAGATGTATGATTGCACATGAATCACCTGTAGCCGAACAGAATAAGTATGAACTGGCACCACAGTCTTCAACATTACCAACACCACAATTGTTATCGCCCACTGAATCTACTTGTCCCAAGAAAGATAATGCTTTAGACGAATATGCTGACTCATGCCTTATTTCTCCAACAAATCAAACATCTGTCACAAATGAGGATATTCAAACTCCAAATACTACTAAGGAAGACTATAAAATAACTCCAACTGAAGATTTAAACAATGAGCTGACATCATCTGAGAGAAAACTAACTGAACAATACTCAATAGAATTTGATTTTCGTTCCAACGTTTTGAATGATTTTAGAGGTATTGGAGTTGGTTCAGCTACACCGGATACTCCACGTCAAACAGATTGTCAATGGAAGTCAAGTACAGAGGCAGCGACAACGAAAAGTAGTATCTGCACCCCATTATACTGCCATACAAATACAAATAAACCGATTTATTTAAGAGAAGTATCTCCGTCACCGCCAACTGTTTCATCCACTATGATAGAATATAACTCAAATGACTTATCCAAAGAAACTATGTTGAATCCCGTCAGTGAGTGTCCAGCAACTTGTAGAATGTTGACATACAGACAAGATTCGCCAACAGTTATAAACACAATTGATATAGAAGAAAAACTGAAACCATTCAGTTCACCATTACCAATTTATGTACCTTCTACAGCATGTACGCGTATACTGAAATCTTCTGATATTAAAACTCTCACAAATAATTACAACCCATTACTGAATAGAATCAGAGATACGGATATCATGTCTATAGATTTATCTTATCATGACAAAAATTCTGTGGAAACATCCAGCACTAGCTCTAATAATGACAATTATATAACTTCTTCAAAACAAAAAGTCCAACCGAATGTACCACGTTTACATTTGCCACTAAGCCCAAAGTTGAAGTCCTCATCTACACATGACCAAATAAGGAAACGAAATCCATCATTAACGCGAAATAACACTGAAAATAATAAAACGCCTATTCCACAGATTGCTAAATCTACAAGTTCGTCATTATGTTGGTGGGAACCATTGAATTGTACTGATGTAAATTGTATGCGAACAAAGATGACAACAATAGCAGAATCACAGTACAAGGATAAATTCTACCTGCCCGAGCCGAATCCAGAAGTGATTCGACACTATCATTATTTATGTGATCAGCAAGCAATGAAAGAAGCTCTACTTATTAAAGCAATAAAAGAGGCTGAAAATAAAGCAAAATATGATAAAATTGCACATTATGAATTATTAAGACAAAAATCAAGAAACAATAAACATAACTATCATCAAAAACAAATTAGATTTATAAACTCTCACCAGTCAAGGAAAGATGACCTTAGAATAAATCGATTCAATAAAGTTAACAACAAATGTAACAACAGAGCGAATTTAACTAGACCTGAAAATTTTATCCACTTATTACAAAAAGAAAATAAACCAAAGAATAATTTTTCACAATTTTCAAATGAGGAAGACTCAGATTTGACTGTCAGAAAGTCATGCATACAACGTTCAGTATTGAGTAGTACAAGTCAGAATGTAAGTTATTAATACTGGTCTTTTGATGGCTAGCTATTTTTATATTAAATTTTATTGATTTTTATGAGAAAATGGCGACTTATTGGGTGTGAATTTGATGTTAGAGATATGGAAAATATTCTTATCAATAAAATCAAAGGATATGAAAGAGTGTGACCAAATAAACAAAATCTGTAAATTATTTGAGCACGTTGATATCATTTTGAGCATTAACTCGTGCTCGTAATATTAATATCATCAGTGAATAAATAATACTTTGTCAGTCTTTTAGCAAATAAAATCATTCTGTTATGGAAGTAATTACTCTTTTATTTTCATATGAGTTAAGCAGATAAAGTACGATTATACCATGGTTATTTAGGATAATTACTGTTCAGTACCATTAGTCCATAATAGTGAACAATTTAAACAGAGTAATATATGATACTACAACAAAAGTTAGACGGTCAAAGCTGGGAATAATACATGCAGAGAAAAAATGTCACACGCAGTGAAAATGGTTTCTACGTAATAGTACAATAACGATTTGAGGATTTAGTAGTGAAGAAATAAAACACACCAATTAGCACTGCTTTATTTTCCAAAAGTATTTGACTAGGCTTCTGAAAATTGGGCTATATTAATCAATAATCTAAATAATTTTGTTTCTAAAGATAAAGGAATCTGATTTTTTTGATTGGACACTAGTCAGTAACTAGTGTGATGTGTCTAGTCCTATCTTTGGTGCAAACTGAATTCTGTCAGTCAAGTTTGCAATGTGGCCACCATACTAGGCGGTTCGCCATCACGGTGAACTGTGAATTGTTGATATTAGATGGTTGGAGGCAATCGGCAGGAAACCTTCCACCTAGGTTTCGTGCTTGTTGGCACTCATTAACAAGGCGTATCTGCAACCTTGAAGGAACTCATGTGCCTTCTGAGATTCGAATCCCTGTCACCCAGTGCTGCAATTAGAGACGTTACCACTGAGCTATTCACGCTAGAGATTGACCTCCTGTAGGACTATATTGGATATTTTTTGATTGGAAACTAGTCAGTAACTAGTGTGAATGTTAGTCCTCAATGAATGAAATATTTGTAGAGAGTTCAAATCACATAGACTCGTTGGCAAGCATTGTGGATAGTTCTAAATGGTGTACAACTATTTACTAGTTGTATTTGTAATCACTCGTAACAGAATACTAGCAAATAAGGCTATATCACCGAATAAACAGAGGGCAGGAATTCGCATATCACAGATTTGTTTGTTTTACATGTGAAACAATGAACACTGGAATTAATATCAGTTAGAGAACCATTGAAAACCAGGTAGTACTCCCTGGTCAACTCGTAAAAACACAACTAACCCTTACAAACCAAAATATAGAAAACACTAGAATTGAATATGTCATTCTCTGGGAACTACAAGCATCAGTATGTAGAATATTTTACGCATCTTGTATTCAGGTTGATTATATTGTTAGAGAACAATTCATACAAAAATTTGCAATGTTTTTATATTGTTTTACATATAATTCTACTTTAAACATAGAATCATATTGATTTCAGTATTTCCTTGCTTTTAAAGCATTGTCTAAATTGATTATTAAAACAATGAGATACTATTGAAAAAATATAATTTAAAATATGGTAACAACTTTTTAAATTTTGATAAAATCATCTTCAGTAGGTCTGATTTCTGGAATGATAAAATAAATTCACTGCTCTCTTGTGCCTATGTAGTTTTTAAGAATAATACATTACTATAATCCTCCAACCAATCATTACAATAATCTTGCACCGGCATATTATTTAAGGTTTGACCTTTATAAAAACAATATATGGCTATAAGTGTCCAGTTTATCGACGTTAAGACAGTCCATGAATAAAGAGTTTTGATTATCATTTTGATAGTCTTTCCCCTTTTATGCTTTTAGACTATACTATATGATGCAGAATAATTTATGATTCTCCTATTGATTCTGAAAGCGTATGATATGAAGCATGATTAAGGGCTTATAGCCGTTGAAATAACACTTCAAATCAAATTACTGAATACAATCTATAGATTTTATTAGTTACGACATGAAAAATTCAATCACACTCAGTATTTAAGAATTTCTTCACTGGTCCAACGGTAGTAAAGTTCACTAACAAGTCAGAAATTCTGGGTTTGACTCCCGACTGGTGAACACTTAAACTTCACTTTGTTTAATGGCCAATAAGCCTGGAAAAGAGGGCAGGTTGTGGGTGAGGCTACCTACTCCATCCCATAAAAGGGAAACAATACTACAGTTACTGAAACTTCAAACAGCCTGAAGTCCTACGTTATACTGGGATTAGCAGTATCGTTGAAGTCGAAATAAGAATAACGAGATTTTCAAACTGTGATGAGAACATTCAGTTTTGTGGATCATTTTTACAGAAGGAAAGAGAGAACAAAGCTATTTGAAGATAAAAGCTCACTTTCACTGGTTTTCTTTAATTTCTTACAATTTAAAACCAAATGAGTTATTATGAATACAATGTAAACATATGTAATTTTATTCTACTACAGTGCTCAAATTCTGCTGTTATGTCAAACAAGTGACTTACTATACATGATGTTAGTTGAAACAGACAAACACGAATGCAAACACATTCTTTGGCGTTGAAATAAGCCTGATGGGCATATTTTTATTATTAAACACTGAGATCAATCAACCCACTGGAATTACTATGTGGTTTGCTTTTGTTTTTTATAGATTCTTCTTGTGGTAAGATTCATGAAGTTTATGTCAGCAAGGGAAGTTTTTACAAGTTTTTACTTCGCTGTAATAAAATGACTTAAATCTCTTATTTGCATTAAGAAAATAACGTGATTAGTTTCATACTCTCCTGGTAAACTGCCTTTAATATCGATACATCATAATCTTATTTTGTTTTTATTTATCTGGTGGTTTTCACTCACACGAATTTAAGTTTCATGCTGAAATCTTCCAGTTAATCTGTTTTCCATAGAGCTTTTCATCAGACTGACTAGTGATCTGGAGTTAAGTGTTATACTCCACTAACCAGTATTTTGAAATTTATAATAATCATCTTTACTCAACTGAGATCTTGTCAGCAGCCTTCAGAGTTGAAGGCTATCAGCGAGTTTCTGAAGGAAAACACTCAACTTCAGTTCACTGAAAAGTCTTTTGAAATTTATAATGGACATCTTTAATTGATCAGAACTTTTCATTCTTCAATGTATTACAACTCCATATCCTTTATGGCCTTAGAATTATCTACCGTCTAATGTATGAATAAACTATGATTGCTTGGACGATTAACCAGCTACTAATTTGCATTTATGCGTCCTAATTGCATTCATGTTCTGTAAATTGTGCGTCGGTGGCATAGCGGTTAGGATGCTCGCCGACCATGCACATGGTTCGGGGTTCGATCCCCGGCCGACGCATTCCTTTACCTCGCTAAGCCAGAAATAATGCCGGTGATGAGGAAAGGTTGGGCATGAGGCTAGCAACCTCATCCTGTGAAAATAAACACTGCTACAGAAACTTCAAGCCACTAGCTTGAAGCCCTATGTTCCACTGGGAACGTGAAGGAATAAAAAAAAATTGTGGATTTAATTGTGTATTACTTATTATGACCCATGTGATTCTGTTCCATTTAGAGGCTGAGAGAAGTTGTGAAATAGGAGGACATCATCAAGCAGTTCATATATTTTCAGTTTGTTTTTATTCAGGCAGCTTTTCACTTATGCTTGGAAAATAATGAATACTAATATACTCTGATGGAGTAACATTTTCGTAAATGAATTTCTATAGTGGTTAACTTTACAAAATAAAAATATATCACTTACTGAGCTGAGGAGAACCATATTGATACTCAGTTGTTTTAAATTGTAGATGTTGGATGTCGTTCTTTTACCACAAGCACCCTGAATTATAAGATGGATCTCTGTGAACGTTCAGGCAGCAGTAGTGATAATTAATTAGTGATCTTTAAAAAACGTGTGTTCACTTGTATCAGTCACAGGAAAACGTTGGTGGATGAATTAACTGATTCACTGGTTGAGTTTCAACAAAGAATTCACCTCAGTAGTACAGTAGTTCTAGTTGACACATTCCATGTAGCAGGTGAAGGGAGAAAAAAGAGAGAAAAAGACTTTTAAAAGGACTGTAATAAGCAGAAATGTGAGGGAGAAAGAATAGTAAAGTGGCAAAGCATCAGGGTTCACTGGATATGGGAGATCCCAAAGATTGAATGCATCTGCATCACTGAGAACGGTTTTGAACCATACCATCAGTAGTTTCCTGCCATTAATTTTTAAAATCCCGAAGACCCCAACCTGGTGGCCTAAATGAATTAAACATTAATTAGTCCTATGACTCAATAATAGACTGCTATACGTGTTTTGGTAAATATAAATATGACTCTATAGCCTCTGAAGATGATTCCGTCCGTAGAGAAAATTTTCTTCCCTCAATTGTTCAATAACTGCGACTATTTTTTGAAGTTCATATCAGATAAATTCAGAATTTTTTGGATGTTTTGTTGTAAAGGGAATTTGATTACTTTCTTCAAATATTAACCTACAGGAAGCCGATATGGAATCAGCCATACACTGATTATAATAGATGGACCTCTTTGAGAGAAAAGACAAACATGATCCACTCCACTTCTTAAAGAGAATGAAAAGGATATATACCATTCATACAGCTGATAATTAAGTGGAGGTATTTCAAAGTGGATGCCCTACAAAATACTTTGATAAAGGCATGAATGAATCAACATTTAGAAAGAATCAACACAACCCCCAAGAAATAGCTAATTAAGAGTGTTAAATTTAAACATGATACTGTGGCCGATATTCTTAAGAACCATCTATTCGAATCGGAGATGAAAACATTTCTTGGCAAATAATCAGAGAATGCGTAAGTGGTAAACTGCTATTTTGGGCCACTTCAATGCATGATTATAAACGAACTGTCCCCTGTGAATTCCATTATGGGTAAATTTTTATTTTGATAGAGTCTCACAGTGTT